CAAAACTTGACAAATGCTAAGTTTATATAGGTTAGTTGCAACATGTAATCTGAAGCCTTGTCAGTAAACATTTCTTAATGTTACATTAAAATTCACTAGTCTGAGAAAAAAAAAAATCTTGCCTATGCCAATGTCATAGAGCTTTTCCGCTATTTTTTCTTTTCTAGTAGTTTTGGGTCTTACATTTAAGTCTTTAATCCATTTTGAGTTAATTTTTGTGTATGGTGAGAGCTAAGGATCTAGTTTTATTTTTCTGCATGTGGATATCCAGTTTTCCCAGCACCATTTATTGAAGAAGCTGTTCTTTCCCCATCATGTGTACTTGACACCTTTGCCGAAATCAGTTGGCCATAGATGCATGGGTTTATTTCTGAGCTTTCTATTCTGTTCCATTGATATGTGTATCTGTTTTTATGCAAGTACCATGCTGTTTTGGTTACTATAGCTTTGTAGTGTGTTTTGAAGTCAGGTAGTATGATGCCACCAGCTTTGTTTTCTTTCCTCAAGATTGCTTTGGCTATCTGGGGTCTTTTGTGGTTTCATATGAATTTTAGGATTGTTTTTCTATTTCTGTGAAGAATGTCATTAGTATTGTGATAGAGATTGCATTGCATCTGTAGATGGCTTTGGGTAGTGTGGACATTTCTTTTTTTTTTTTCTTTTTGTCTTTTTTCGTGTCCGGCAACGGATCGCAACCCTCAGNGGGAACTGGTCTGTATGTGGGATCCGAACCCTCGGCGGGAGCGCCACCGCGCTCCCCAAGCAGCGCACTGTAGCAGTGCGCCACCAGGCCGGCCCTGGACATTTCAACTATATTAGTTCTTCCAGTCCTTGAACACGGGATATCTTTCCATTGCTTTGTGTCTTCAATTTCTTTCATCAATATTTTATAGTTTTTATTGTACAGATCTTTCACCTCCTTGGTTAAATTTATTCTTAGGTATTTTTTTTTTTGTAACTGTTGTAAAAGGGATTGCTTTCTTGATTTCTTTTTCAGATTGCTCATTATTGGTGTATAAAAAAGCTACTGATTTTTGTATGTTGATGTATCTGCAACTTTACTGAATCTATTTACTCTTGTATTTTTTTGGTGGCATCTTTCGGGTTTTCTTTTTTTGTTGTTTTTGTTCTGTTTTTATTTATTTATTTATTTTTTCTTCTGGGGTTTCTATGTATAAGATCAAGTCTGCAAACAGGGAATTTAACTTCTTCCTTTTCAATTTGGATGCCCTTTGTTCCTTTCTCTTGCCTAATTGCTCTGGCTAGGACTTTTAGTACTATGTTGAATAAAAGTGGTAAAAGTGAGCATCGTTGTCTTGTTCCAGATCTTATAGAGAAAGCTTTCACCTTTTCACCATTCAGTGTGATGTTAGCTATAGGTTTGTTATATATGGACTTTATAATGTTGAGGTACTTGCCTTTTTTTTTTTTGTGACCGGTGGCACCGCGCTCAGCCAGTGAGTGCACCAGCCATCCTTATATAGGATCCAAACCCGCGGCGGGAGTGCTGCTGCACTCCCAGCTCCGCACTCTTCCGAGTGCACCACGGGGTCGGCCCAGAGGTACATTCCTTCTATACCTCATTTGTTAAGAGTTTTTATCATGAAGGGATATCGAATTTTATCAAATGCTTTTTTTGCGTCTCTTGAGATGATTACATGTTTTTTTTTTCCCCTTCATTCTGTTGATGTGATGTATCACTTTTATTGATTTGCATATGTTGGAATCATACTTGCATATCTGAGATGGATCCTACTTGTTCATGGTGAATAATCTTTTTGTTGTGCTGTTGGATTCAGTTTGCTAGTATTTTGTTGAGGATTTTTGCATGTATGTTCATCGGGGAATAATGGCCTGTAGTTTTCTTTGTTGTGTCCTTGTCTGGTTTTGGTATTAGAGTAATGCTGGCCTTGTACAATGAGTTGGGAAGAATGCCCTCCCCTTCAATTTTTTGAAATAATTTGAGAATTGCTATTAGTTCTTTAAATGTTTGGCAGAATTCAGCAGTNTATTTTGTTGAGGATTTTTGCATGTATGTTCATCGGGGAATAATGGCCTGTAGTTTTCTTTGTTGTGTCCTTGTCTGGTTTTGGTATTAGAGTAATGCTGGCCTTGTACAATGAGTTGGGAAGAATGCCCTCCCCTTCAATTTTTTGAAATAATTTGAGAATTGCTATTAGTTCTTTAAATGTTTGGCAGAATTCAGCAGTGAAGCCAACTGGTCCTTTTTATTACTGATTCCAATCTCGTTACTTGTTATTGGTCTATTTAGATTTTCTATTTCTTCATGATTCAATCTTAATAAGTTGTTAAGTATCCAAGAATTTATCCATTTCTTGTAGGTTTTTCAATTTGTTACTGTATAGTTTTTTATAATAGGCTCTAATGATTGTTTGTATTACTGTAGTCTCAGTTGTAATGACTCTTTTTGTCTCTGATTTTATTAATTTGCATCTTTTTTTCCCCATAGTTAGTCTAGCTAAAGGTTTGTCAATTCTGTTTATCTTTTCAAAAAACCAGTCCTTCATTTCATTTATTTTTTGTATTGTCTTTTTGGTCTCTCTTTTATTTATTTCTGCTACTTATTTTGCATTTGGTTTGTTCTTGTTTTTTTAGTTCCTTGACTTGCAACCTTAGGTTGTTTATTCGAGATCTATTTTTTGATGTAGGCATTAACTGCTATAAACTTTCCTCTTCATACCGCTTTTGCTGTATCCCACTGGTTTTGATATGTTGTGTTTCCATTATCATTTGTCTCAATAAATTTTTTTATTTCCTTCTGAATTTCTTCACTGCACGTTCAATGGATCTTTTACCCAGGTATGATGTGGTAACATCATTCATTGGTCATTTGGAAAA